CCCAGGGCACCCCCAGCAAAGCTCTGAAAAGATGTTTTTTGTTTTTTGTTTTTTCCCCAGCAGGAAAGGCTGAATTGGTGAGGTGGGGCGGGGTGGCTGTGTGTATTGTGACCTGCAATCACTCAGGGACAGCCCACCCAAGAGTGAAGCCATCACAAAGGAGCAGACAGACCCACAGATGGAGGAGAGACACCTGGATCCAGCCATGCCTGAAACTTCCCGGACACTCTATTGTATTTATTTTTTTACAGGGGGAGGGGCAGAGGGAAAGGGAAAGAGAGAGAATCTCAAGTGGATGCCATGCTGGGTGCTGAGCCAGAGGCAGGGCTCCTTCTCAGGACCCTGAGATCAAGACCTGAGCCTTAATCAAGAGTCAGATGCTCAACCAACTGAGCCACCCAGGGGCCCCACTCACTCTGGACATTTTAGTCACATGAATCAACAAATCTCCCCATGCTCAAGCCAATTCTGACGCACAGAAGGGATGCACCAAGCAGGGACCAGACTCCACACTTGGTCAACACCAGGACAGACGGAGGGGGCAGATCCAAGAGGAGAGTACAGTGCAAGAGTTCTGCAGAGGCAGGAAATCTGGGCCAAGGGGCACTGGAGGAACGTTGAAGCCCTTTTGGGGAACTGGGGGCCAGGACTGTGTGGATCTGGCCAGCTTCCTCCAGGCCTCAAGGGACAAGAAGACCTCAATGAATTCCAGCATGACCCAGCCTTTTTAAGGTCTGGATAAGGGTTTGTGCTCGAGCTGGTCAGGATTGGTTTAACCTCCTCTCTTAATAAACACTTGGGTCATTTCCAGTTCCTCACTGCTCTCAGTATTCTGTTTTGAACATTCTGAGACCTGGCTTTGATCTAATCTAAAATATCCTGGGAGAAGTCCACTGGTTTCAGGCATGGCTGGATCCAGGCCTGGCATCTCCCAGACTAAACACAGACATGCTATCAGTTTTGTCCAGTGACTTGTCTCCTCGACGTGAGAGTCTGTGAAGGTTTTCTGCACCCATCCATGCTCCTCAGGAGACAGGAAACAGAGAACGGGATATCATTTTGTATAGGAGGCTGCGAGTGGGGCAGGAAGTTGCCTGAGGCCACATGGTGGGAAGGTAGCAGGAGGAAACACCCCTGTCCCCTGTCTGCAGACATAGGATTTTCCCCTGCCAGGTGTACATTCCAGGGACCCCAGGGTCAGACTTCAAAGTTCACAATCTGATGAAACCGGGTTCTGCAATGAGGCCTCGGGCAAGTCCCTTTTCGTTCTGATCTTCCATATTCCCATATATAAAATACAGGGCATCCCCACCTAAGTGCTCTGCAGGAATGCCAATTGCAGAGGCGCCTAGGGGGCTCAGTCCCTTAAGCATCTGTGTCTTGATTTTGGCTTGGGTCATGATCTCAGGGTCATGGATCAAGTCCTGCAGGTGAGCCCCAGGGCAGGCTCAGCCCAGAGTCTGCTTGTTCCTCGCCCTCTGCTCCTCCCCCAACTCATGCTCTCTCATAAATAAATAAGTAAATAAATAAAATCTTAAAAAAATAAAAGAAAGAAATGCCAGAGGCAAACTCTGTCCTGGTGCTCCAGCTCCAGCACTGAAGAATATATTAAAATGCACACTCACATTTTTGAGCTCTGTAGGTTTTCTGCAGAAACTGCTAACAATTAATGAGCACTTCCTACATGACAAGCAAGTCTTTACATAGATTCAGTCCTCTCAACAACCATAGAAGGTAGGCGTTGCTATTCTCTGTACTCTGTGGATGGAGAAGCCGAGGCAGACAGAGGCTCGACAGCTTTCCTAGATTCTACTTGGGTTCCTGATAGTGCTGGCCATCAGTGCTTTGTTAGCCTCACAAAATGAAGTGGTAAATATTTGCTTGCTTTTCAGTCTCTGGACAGGTTTATGTAAGGTTGGCGATCTTTCTTTCTTTCTTTTTTTAAAAAAGATTTTATTTATTTATTTGACAGAGAGAGATCACAAGTAGGCAGAGAGATAGGCAGAGAGAAAGAGGGAAGCAGGCTCCCGCTGAGCAGAGAGCCCAATGCAAGACTTGATCCTGGGACACTGAAATCATGATTTGAACTGAAGACAGAGGCTTAACTCACTGAACTACCCAGGTGCCCTGGTTGGTGATATTTCTTTAACTGTTTAGAAGAATTCCCCAATGAAACCATCTGAATTAATCAACTTATTATTATTATTGTTATTATTGTTATTATTATATCATTTTTAACTAGGCTCCATGTCCACAATGGTTCTTGAACTCACAACCCTCAGATTGAAATTTGCATGCTCTACTGACTGAGGCAACCAGAGGCCACTGAAAACATCTGAATTTCGAATTGTCTTTGTGGGGAGATTTTTAAATTATGGATTAATTTTATTTAAATTGGCATAGGACTACCTAGATTTTCCACTTCTTCCAATGTCAGCTTTGGTAAATTGTGTTTCATTTATATTTCAAATTTATTGTCATAGAGTTGTTCATACTATCCTCTCATTATCCTTCTAAAATTTTTAAATTAATTAATTAATTAATTAATTTTCAAGTAGCCTCCATCCCCAGCATGGAGCCCAATGCAGAGTTTGAATTCACAACTCTGAGAGCAAGACCTGAGCTGAGATTAAGAGTCAGACACTTAACCGAATAAGCCACCCAGGAACCTCTTTAAATTTTATTTTTAAGTAATCTCTACACTCAGGGGTGTCTGGGTGGCTCAGTGGGTTAAAGCCTCTGCCTTCAGCTCGGGTCATGATCCCAGGGTCCTGGGATCGAGCCTTGTATTGGGCTTTCTGCTCGGCCGGGAGCCTGCTTCCTCCTCGCTCTCTGCCTACTCTCTCTCTGTCAAATAAATAAAATCTTAAAAAAAAAAAAATGTAATCTCTACACCCAATGTGGTGCAACCCCAAGATCAAGAGTCTCATGCTGCATCAACTGAGCCATCCAGGTGCCCTTTTTACCCTTTTAATGTTTATAGTATCTCTTGATGTCCTTTTTTTCATTCCTGATATTGGAATTTGTGTTTTCTTTTTCTTACTCGACATTTCCAGGAATTTATGAAGTCTATCAATCTGTTCAAAGAACCAACTTTTGGCTTTGTTGATTTTCTCTAAATTTTTCTGTCCTTCATTAAGTTTTGCTCTTGTGTTTATTATTTCCTTTCACCTTTGGGGTTAATTTGTTCTTTTTTTAGTTCTTGAATTGGAACTTAGAACATTAATTATCAACCTTTCTTCTAAAGCTATAAATTTTCCTCACAGCACAGCTTTACCTGCATCCCATCATGTTTGATACATCATATTTTCACTATTGCTTCAAAATATTTCACAATTTCTGTTATGATTTACTATTGGAACTTTAATTATTTAGAAGTGTGATGTTTAAATTCCAAGCACTTGGAGGCTTTCTAATAGTTTTCTTGACATTGAGTTATAATTTAATTCAAAGAGGACAAACTTGTATGATTCCAGTCCTTTGAAATTAGTTGAGATTTTATGGCCCAAGATACTGTCTATCTTGAATAACACATTTTTTTAAGATTTTATTTTTAGGGGCTCCTGGGTGGCTCAGTTAAGCATCTGCCTTTAGCTTGGGTCATGATCCCAGGGTCCTGGAATGGAACCCTACATCTGGCTCCTGCTGAGTGGGAAGCCTCCTTCTCCCTCTCCCACTTCCCCTGCTTGTGTTTCCTCTCTCGCTGTTTTTCTCTCTGTGTCAAATAAATAAAATAAAATCTTTTTTAAAAAGTTTCTTTTTAAGTTAAATAAAAGCCCCATGGGTCAAACTTGCAACCCTGAGATCAAGGGTCAAATGCTCCCCCAGTGGAGCCAGCTAGCTGCCCCTATTTTTTTGTTAAGATTATTTATTTATTTGAGAGAGATAGTGAGAGAGCACAAGGAGGGTACTGGGATCATGACCTGAGCCAAACGCAGTCACTTAACTGACTGAGTCACCCAGGTGTCCCCAGGGGTCCCTATTTTTTTTTTTTTAAGATTTTATTTATTTGAGAGAGTGTGTGAGAAAGAGAGCACAAGCAGGGGGAGCTTCAGAGGGAGAGGGAGAAGCAGGCTTCTTGCTGAGCGGAGAGCTATATGTGGCCTCCATCCCAGGACCCTGAGATCATTGACCTGACTCAAACTCTTGAGTGACTGTGCCACCCAGGTGCCCACCCAGATGCCGCTATTTTGATTAACATTCTATGTGCACCTGGAAAGAACCTATATCCTACAGCTATTGGGTAAAATGCTGTTATGTACGTGAATTAGAGCAGGTTGGTTCATCTTGTTGTTTGAACTGTGTGTCCCAGCTCAAGGATAGAGGAATTAACCACAGGGATGGAAGAGAGTCCAGTCCAGGTCCTCACATAACAGTTACTTGATTTATGATGGAAGCTCTTTTCCAATTCAAGGGGAAAATGATGGCCTTTTCTACAAAGTGATGCTGGGTCAACCGGATATTCATATTAAAAAAAAAAAAAAAAGAGCTCTGGCCCCTACAACACTACCCAAAGGACGAGTGACCCATCACAGATGGTAAAACATTTAAGCTTCTAAAACATAGGCGAATATATTAATGAAAAAGCACTAATCCTAAGAGAAACAACAAATAAATTGGACGTCACTGAGAATCACTCCGGCTCATTATAAGCAACAGCAAGCCACGAGTGACAGAAGATTTCTGCAGTATCTTCAACCCCGTACATTTTCGGATATCCATCGACAATATCGGATATCCATGCGCCACACCGGGGGCACATATCCAGAATATATAAAGAACCTCTAGGAAACAATAAGAAAATGGAGTCGGGTGTGAACCCAGGCAGCCGACGCCAGAGCTAGGCTCCAGTCACCCACTCCCCCGGCCTTGCCGAGACAGCTCCCGCCTGGTGTCCCTCTCCAAGCCTCGCCGGAAACTCGCTCGGTCGTCCTTAAGCGGGGAGGCGGCGGGGAAGCTCTGGGCCGCGGCTCCGCCCCGGGGGCTGCCTTTTCCTTAGAAGGCGAAGCCCCAAGCCTCGCCTCTCGCCGGCAGAGAGCCGCGCTGTGCGCTCCGCGCGCCCCTCGCCGCCGCCGCACCCCCAGGAGCGCAGAGCCCCGCGCACTCGCGCGCCAGCCGGGCCCGGGCGCGGACGGGCAGGCGAGGGGCGGGCGCGCGTCCTCGCGGCTCTGGATGGAAGGATCGAGGTCGGCGGAGACGGCGGCCAGCAGGTCCTGAGGCCAGAGCCCCTCCCCGGCCCCGCGCCCGCGATATGCCGCGGGAGAGGTGAGCAGGGCGACCTCGCCGTGGGAACGGCTACGCCCGGGACAAACGCGAGGACGGCGAGGCGCGAGGCCGGGTGTCCTCGGAGCGCGCGGCCGGGCCGGGTCCTGGCCGTCGCCTGTCACCCGCCGGCGCCTCCGCCGCCCGCGCACTCGTCTTCGAGCGCGGGCACGGCGTCCCCACGGCGTCTTGCCCTGTCCCCGCGGTCCTTCTTATCCCGGGCAGCCGTGGGGATCTTTGGGATTTAACTTGGAATCCGAAAGAATGTGACACCATGTTTTCAAGATTTGGGGCCCCGAAACGAACGGCTCCTCGCAGTCGGCGGCAGCCCTTCCTCCCCGCGCGCCCCTTCCCCGGGCCCCCCGCCCCCTCTCCCACCCCGCGGGGCGACCTCCTCCCGGGGCTGGCTCCTGGCCGCCGGCCAGGCCGGGGCGCTGAGCTTGTCCCCCCGCAGGTGCCGCGCCCCTAGACCGTGTCCCCGCCATGGAGGTGCTGCGGCGTTCCTCGGTCTTCGCCGCGGAGATCATGGACGCCTTTGACCGCTCGCCCACCGACAAGGAACTGGTGGCCCAGGCCAAGGCGCTGGGCCGGGAGTTCGTGCACGCGCGGCTACTGCGCGCGGGCCTCGCCTGGAGCGCGCCCGAGCGCGCCGCTCCCGCCCCCGGAGGCCGTCTGGCCGAGGTGTGCGCGGTGCTGCTGCGCCTGGGTGAGTGCGGGCCCTGGTGGCCTATGCCCTGGAGGTGCCCTCTGCTGCTGGGCCTCAGTTTCCTTTACGGACAGAGAGGGGGCTGGCGGGGGGTGTTGGGGACAGCCTTGCGCAAGGCAGACCTACCTACACTCGCCTCATTATGCCTCAGGCTGCCCTGCCCACCCGCCACAGCTAGCTCCCCCATATGCCTGTTCAGCCCAGATTTCAGACCTTCTGGCCATAAAGACTAGAAAGCTCCAGGAAGAATATTGTTTCGGTGGTTAAACTTCCAGAGTGACCCTTGTACTGAGCTGGGCACGAAAATCCTTTGTGGGACCACGTGTCCCAGTGTTTATTTTGGAAAGTAGTTCTTTGCAGCTCCTGCCTGAAATCCTGCAGCTCTTTCCTCTTGATGTGGATGCCTGGCAGGGCTCCCTCTGGAAATTTGGTGCCCCAGAAGGGTCAAAGCCACCAAGGTTCTGGGCAGCCAAAATCCCACCTGGCCACCTGGTCATGCTTAGACACCTGGGAGTACTTGGTTGGAGTGGGGTCCCACACAGCACAGTGACTGTTTCCATCTTCTCCAGGGTCTAGACCCCAGAGGGCTGGGGCCAGTCACCACGAGGGCCGAGGTTGCTCACTCTGGAACTGGTTGTTGGGAGTGGGGAGCAAAGATGGAGCCCTGATGGGGTGGCTCTTCATGCAGAGTGTGGGGAAAGGCTGGCCCAGGATCTGGGGTTGGAGGGGGTCCTCAGTGAAAGGGGACAGACACCCTGCCTCTTAGGCCGACACTAGTGTCTGCTGGTCCCAGTTTTGTGTGGCCCCTGAGATCAGGACTGTGCAGACCCAGCTGCCCCAGTGTGGGGCAGGGGGATGGGCAGACTCCATGGGCAGTGTAGAAGATTGCCAGGAGACGTGGTAGCCCACCTGGGCCCCAGGGGAGAGGAGTGGTTCCTGGGTGTGGAGAGCCAGTGGGGTTTGGGGAATCAGACAGGGATCCAGAGGACCTGGACTCCCATGAGGTCAGCCTCCAGTTGCTGTTTCTTCAGCGGGGCTATGGGGATGGCACTGGGGAAACATTCTAGAGGGCCCTGGAGAAGATGGTTCTGTGGTCTCCCAAGAATGTCCCCCTGACTCCTAGGGTAGCCAGAAGGAAGTCTTGCCTCTGTCCTGACCTGTTCTGCCGCTCTTCCCAGCCTCCTGGTCTCTGTCTCCTTGTCTGTGCCCAGGAACTGGTGCTGCCTCTACCTGGGCCCAGAGTCCCTGCTTCGGGCTCTGCTGTTCTGACCAGGCTGGTTTCTGTAGCCTTAGTCCCCCGTGTCCCACCCTGAGAGCCCCAATGCTCCGGGCCTGGTCTTGGGGAGCAGGGGCTGGCCAGGTGCCCAGCACCAGCCCTTTCAGGAGCAGGGTCCTTCCTCCGTGTCAGGCTCTGCCCAGTCCCTGGGACTGGGCCCTGGCAGATAGCTAAGGAGGGGGAGGATTTGGACCCCCAGAGTGCTCTCGTTCTTGCCTTCCTGCTGCGCTCTGCTCTTAGACCGCTCGGCATGAGCCCTTTCATGCCTGGTGCAGTCTCCCTGCCCCCGCCCGCCCCCCCCAGCATGCTCCTAGCCCTCCCAACCCCACGCCAGCCCAGACACCCAGCTCCTGGGGCAGCAGCACACAGGAAGAAGCCGGGGTCGCGTCCCCATGGTCGGTCTCTTGGGCCGCAAGATCTGCATGTGGGAACAGCCAGGCCTGCCCTGGGAATTTCCATGCCATCCACCACTCCACCCCCCGGTCCCCACCGTCCCCCAGCCTCGCTGGTTTCTGCTCTGCATCCAGATCTCGTTTAATTAGATGGAGTGCAGCTGGCCCCAGGGACGATGCAGACACCCTTATCGGCGCACGCTGTCCTGTCCACAGCCTTTCCCTGTTTGCTTTGGCTGCATAAGTGCCTGGGCTGGGGGACACCCAGTCCGCGGGCTGCGTGGAATTCCCGGCACCTCGCTGCCAGGGGCGCTGCAGTGAGCGCGGGCAGCAGGCGGGGCTGCTAAGAGGGCATTTCCTCTGCCGAGTGTGGCCACCCACCCTGACACACCCACTTGGCACCGGGAGCCCAGGTTTGAGCCTGGGCGGGCGAAGACTTAGCTTCTGGGTTCACAGACCCATGCTGGGGGGTGGGGCTGAGTGAGGACGCCCCCCGGAGGCAGGAGCCAGGGGCCCCACCTGTGTGGGGTCGCTGGCATAAGCCTCTACCCATGTGGGGCTCTGGCTGCCTGCCCAGTCCTCCTGCCGCCCGGGCAGCTCGCTGTGGGCCATGAGTCACCCATCAGGCACGGCCCTTGCTCCTCCTCGGGATTCCCGCCCCACCGGCCCGGCCGGCTTGGCCCTGGGTGGGGGTGGCGGGTGGCTGGCTTGTCAGAAGGGGCAGGCCGCAGAGGCAGGTCTGGGGGTGCCCACAGTACCTCCTCGGTCTTCTTATCCCCGGGGGCCATGGTGGGGTCAAGTGGAGGTGGAAATTTGACAGGCTGAGGGGGGTGGTCAACAGTCAGGCCTGTTCAGTGCCAGTTGTGGCCATGGGCCAATGAGCAGTGGGCTGGTGCCAGGCTTGTGTGCCCGTGGGGCTGGGGTCAGGCAGGCCCGACCACCTCTGACCTCCCTGCGTGACTGCCCAGGGGACGAGCTGGAGCTGATTCGGCCTAGCGTCTACCGCAACGTGGCCCGTCAACTGAACATCTCCCTGCAATCTGAGACTGTGGTGACTGACGCCTTCCTGGCTGTGGCGTCCCAGATCTTCTCCGGAGGTAGGCCTGGGCCCCCATGCTGCTGTAGGCCCGGGTCTGTGGGCTGGCGCAGGGCCTTGGGCACTGGGAGGGTGCAGCAAGTAGCTCCCACAGGTCCCAGGACCACCTTACTGCTGTACAAACCCGCCCAGAAGCTTGACCCGAACAGTGCTGTGTGGTGCTTCCCTGGGTTCTGAGGATGGGGCTGTCTGCGGGGCACCTGGCCTCAGGCCTCTCATGTGGCTCTGGCCAGTATTAGCTGGGGTGCTGAGGACTGAGGTCTTCCTGGGGGTGCCTGGGTGGGCTGGTCAGAGAGCCAGTTTCCTTCAGAGTGTCCTAACAGTCCTGACCTGGGTCCTGGGAACCCTGTGAGGATGAACCGGGACGGCGCCTCAAAGAGGAGGCAGCAGGTGGGGCCCAGCGGGCATTCGAGGCTGGTGGCCACCTTTAGCCCTCCCTGGGCTCCTGTGTTCTGGGCCTGACGCTGGTGTGTGGGTGGCCGTGTCTGTCTCGGGGCTGTTGGGCGGCTGGTTTATGAGCCGAGGTCTGGCTTTAAAAGGAAGGCTTCTCTCTGAGAGCGCAGCTCTGGGCTGCTGGTGGTTGGGATGGAGCCGGGAGGCCAGGCGAAGCCCGCGGTGGTGGCAGGTATGCACGCAGGGGACAGGACAGAGGCCCAACACTGAGCACCCTCCCCACCAGCCTGGCCTTGCTCAGTGCGGGTTCAGGCCCGCGAGCTTCTGAAAGGCTCTGGGCTCTGGGAGGAAGGACTTGGGGTGGGGGAGGGGTGGGGATAATGGACACAGGCCACCACAGCTCAACCCACTTGTGGAGTTCAGTGAAAGTCGTGTGATTTTCCTTTGAAATGGGGCAGAATATTCCCCTTCACATTGAAGCATCAGTGTCCGCAGGCCTACCCCATGTAGGTGCCACCCTTCTTCAACAGCCTTCACTCCTGTGCCTGCCCCTCTGGGACTCTGGGGCAGCTGCTCCCTCATGGGCTGTGTGACCTGCAGCTGGTTTCTTAATATCTCTGAACCCAGAGCCGCCTGAAAACGGAGGAGGAGCAGGGCTCCCTGGAGCGTGGGGTCACAAATCCACCCCTCTGTTGTGACCTGGCTCTCAGGCCAGCCCCTCAGCAGCTGTGGCTGCCCCTCCCACCCTCCCACCTGCTGCTTGGCCAGCCTCCCCTTGGCCCTTCGTCCACCTTCCTTTCTCCACAGAGTCAGCCCAGCCACAAGGTGCTCGCTGGCCTTGGTCCCTGTCTTCCTGAGGTCTCTCCCAGACCACTCACTGACCCTCACGCTACCCCTTGTGCCCCCTCTTCCTCAGGACAGGCCCCCCGGCCTTTGGTGGGTGATGGGGCAGCTTGAGGACTGTGGGCGGGGATCTGTGGAGGCGTCTGTGTGCTCCTGGCGGAGGCAGCGGCCACCAGCGTGGCTCCTGGCAGCGGCTGCCCAGCTTAGCTCTCTTCAGGGGAAACACGGATCTTTCCCTCCTTGATGAGAAGTTGGCAGGAGTGTTGTTGTTGTTTTTTTTTTTTTCTTATTACAAGAGCAAAATATTTTACCACAGAAAGGTCAGAAAATGCAAAAGATAAACAAGTTTTAGAAACCAATACTAAAAATGAGCAAAGGATCAGAAGAGCAGACACACGGCTGGCCCAGAGCCCACGAGAAGCCTGCCCTCTGCCGTGGGGGAGACGTGCGGCAGAACCACCGTGAGCCTGCGCTGCGGACCCCCAGTGGCAGGATCGGTGCTATGAGCACTGGCTTGGGCAGGGTGTGACCGGTGGCACCCAGGTGGTGTGGCTGCTTCGAAGGGCTGCCCACCCCCAGGTGTCGCCATGAGGGGCGGATGCTCGTGCATACACATGCCGCCCAGACGCCATGAGTGCGTCCCTCAGAGGAGCCATGGCGCAGGCAGCCCATAGTCACCGGCTGGCGGACACATGCGCCCCACGCGGACACCCGTGACTGCGTGGATGAACCCTGCGGACCCCGTGCCCGGTGCGGGGAGCCCGAGCCACTGTGGAGCACTGGCCAGAGCCCTTTCCTAGCGAACACCGGGAGTGGGGAATCCACGGGCCCAGGGAACCGAGGAGTGGCTGTCAGCCCGGGAAGGGGCCCAACGGTGGGCGGGTGGGTGCGGCCGCATGGATGCCACTGGAACTTAGGGGAACTGCTTACCGGTTTATGGTACTGAGATCATCTATCCATGAGAAATTAAGCACAGAAGACCCCGAGGAGACCACGTGTGCAGCACCTTCCAGACCTTCAAGGGTCAAGGCCATGTGGAGCTTGCTGTCCTCTCATGGGACTGTGAGGCCCCTCTCCGGGTGGCAGTACAGAACGTGGCATTTGGCTGGGGAAGCATGGGGCGAGACACGGTCACTGTGACTTGGGGCCCTGATGGCCCGGCCTATGGAGGTGGGGAGAGTGGGCGCAAGACCTCAGTGGAGGGAAGGCACCCTTGGGGCCAGGGGTTCAGTTGAGATCTCAGAGTTGGATTTTTTTAAAGTAAGCTCTACACCCAGTGTGGGACTCAAACTCACACCCCTGAGATCGGGAGTCATGCTCCCCTGACTGGGAGTGAGCCAGGCCGTGCTCCGTAACTTGGATTTATTTTGAAAGAGATGGAAAGTGGGGCGCCTGGGTGGCTCAGTGGGTTAAGCCTCTGCCTTCGGCTCAGGTCATGATCTCAGGGTCCTGGGATCAAGTCCCGTGTCGGGCTCTCTGCTCAGTGGGGTCCTGCTTCCTCCTCTCTCTCTTTCTGCCTGCCTCTGCCTACTTGTGATCTCTCGCTTTGTCAAATAAATAAATAAATAAATAAATAAATAAATTCTTTAAAAAAAAAGAGAGAGATGGAAATTAACAGTCACAGGAGGGTTTAGGCAGGAGAGGGATGGGATCCAATTTATGGGTTTTTAAAATTTTTCTTGTCACGGTGATGGAGCTTACCTGACCATGAGGCATTGTGATGTGCGGGGACACTGCTGTCCATCTGCCCCATTTCACATTCCTGGAAGGACACCTGGAGCCCTCTTGGCACTCACTCTGCACCCCTCCCCCGTTCTGGACGGTTCATGTCTGTGGACTCACACAGCACAGGGGGCCTTTTGAGTCTGCTGCTCCCACTGAGCGCTGTGTTTCTGACACCCGCCCCTCCCCAGCCGTGGCAGTATCAGGGCTCCAACCCTTTCCGGGGCTCAGTCCTAGTCCCTGGTTTGGAGCCCTTTGCTTTTCTTTTCGCCGTTGGGTGTCTGTCGCTTTCATCTTTTTGAGTGTTTGTCGCTTTCATCTTTTGGCAGGTATGAAGAGGGCCCCCATGAGCGCGGGGGGGCCGGGTTTATGGGAGCTGGTAGAGGCTCTGGCTGCGTGGGAGGGTGCATGGAGGGGCAGGGGCGCCCTCTGCCCACACTGCCACCTCCTCGGGCTCCTGTCCTGCCAGGACCATATGCACGTATTTCACGGACACTGCAGGCGCCTTGGCCTGTTTGTCTCAGCAGACGATACGGCGCAGCCTGTGGTGACCTGAAGCTTTCATTTGATAGACTGTCATCTCTCCCTGCTTTTCTCTGACTTTTCTTGGGTTATTCGTGAGGGCAGACATTTTTCAAAGTTTTGATGCATTTGTAGTTTTTCTTCTGTGAAGCAGCTGTTTCTTCTGTGCTCATATTTCTTTAGAAATGTTTCTCTTTGTTCTCGCGGACTCGTGAGCTCTCCTTGCACACGAAGGAGGCTTGTGCCCCAGCATCGACAGGTGGCCTCCCCACACTGGCCTTTGCCTCTTCCCAGCGGCTGTAGGTCTGGGGCAGGCCGTGCGCTCACGGACCTCAGCTTCTCTATGCAGACTGTCCTGCTGCCCTCACCTGGCCCCTCCGAACACACAGGCCAGGGGCAGGTGCTCCTCGGGGCTGCTCCCTCGGCCGTCAATCGGTCACCCCCACCCTTAGCCTGTTTCCTATTTCCTGGACGGCCTTGCTGCCTGCTCACCTCCTTCCAGGGACTGGGGGCTGGGCGAGGCTGGCCTGGGCCCTGGCACAGGTGTGCAGGTGAGGGTGGCAGGACTGACCCGAGGCAGGTGCTGGGTGCGGGGAGGGGTGGGGGAGGTGGCCCCAAGTCTCAGGCCCTTTGTGTGACCCTGAGGGCTGGACTGGAGCCTGGGTTTGGGTGGCCTTCTGCTCACCGGCGTCTGTCTCTCTCCTCGCAGGCATCACATGGGGCAAGGTGGTGTCCCTGTACTCAGTGGCGGCAGGGCTAGCCATCGACTGTGTGCGGCAGGCCCAGCCCGCCATGGTCCACGCGCTTGTCGACTGCCTTGGAGAATTTGTGCGCAAGACCCTGGCTCCCTGGCTTCGAAGGCGTGGCGGATGGGTGAGGGGGGACCTGAGGTACCCGGTGGGGGGTGGGGGCGGCGAGGGGTTAGGGGAGGTGGGAGGGCCGGGGCGGCTCCTGCTGCCCAGCTCCAGCGCTGACCTGTCCTCTGCTTCCTCCATGCCCAGGGCCATGGGCCCCTTAGCCCATGAGAGGGGAAGTCCTGACCCTGCCCAGAGCATCCTCACCACACCCCCTCCTAGCTACACTCTGATGCTGGGGGGAGACCAGCCCAGACCATGGGGGTGGGTGCGTGGGTCTTACCCACCACGGGCTCTGTGCCCCCAGCTGCCCACCTGGCCCCGACCGGCCCCCCCCGCAGAGATGTCCGTTCTCTCCTCTGTAAATGGGTGGTGGACCAGGGTGTGTGGGGCTCGCTGGCTGGGATGACAGGGCTCAGCAATCTGCTGAGGTTGGGGCCAAAGGCTGAGGTTGGGCGGTGGCCGGGGCTGCAGTCTCCTCTGAAGCTGGCATTGGTGGGGATGGGATTGCTTTCAGGATGACCCGTGGCTGTGGCCATTCATTAGCAGAGAGACCCTGGGGCCTCTGTCCCCCTACATCCTCTCCTCTCCGTGGAGGCAAAGACGTTGCTTGACACCACAGTCAAAGTCCAGACTACAGAGAAAAGATTTTATTTCTCAGCAGGAATAGAAAGGAATGAGGAATGGCTGTTAATTGGGCTTCTGGAAATCTTGGTTCTCAGTCCTGTTCTGAGAGAGAGTGCAGCTGGATCGGTCGCTTCCTGGTACCCCAGTCTCCACCGTGCCGAGGCAGAAGGACACGGGGTGTTCGTGGGCCCATGGGCAGTAGGCAGGTGGCCGTGTTGGGAGCTAGCTCTGGCCTGGAGATGGTGGTGGAGGCCGCAGTGGGGCAGTGTCCATCCCTTCCCCTCCCATGGTCCAGAGCAGACCACAGACCTTCCCTGACACCCTCAGGCACCCCCTCATGGTAGTCAGCTGATGTCTCATGCAAGGTGCTCTGTTCTCTAACCGTGTCCTCTTGCCTCCCAGACCGATGTCCTCAAGTGTGTGGTCAGCACGGAGCCCGGCTTCCGCTCCCATTGGCTCGTGGCTGCACTCTGCAGCTTTGGCCGCTTCCTGAAGGCCGCCTTCTTCCTGCTGTTGCCAGAGAGATGAGCTGCTGCCTCGGGCACAGGCTGAAGCCAGGCACTCCGACCCAGGAGGCCCTGGGCCCTGGAGAGCACCCATGTCCTCCTCGACCAGGCTGGGAAGGCTCCGACACTCAGAGCCCTGCCCCCATGCTGGAGGCCCTGCCCTGAGCCCCTCGCCCTCAGACCCAGGCTCTCTAGAAGGGGCAGCAGAGGGGGCCTCCCTGGCCTGGAGCTGGGCTTCAGTGCCTCCCTCGTTGCTCCCCTTCTCTTAGAAATTCTGCTTGTCCTCTTTCTGGAGCCAGAAAGTCAGGGTCACCTCCTGGGTCCAAAAGGAAGGGAGCTGAGAACACTAGGCTCCACTTGATGCCTGGGTCCCCTCTGTGAAGGGGGACCATGTCAGGACATGAGCTGGCCTTGGTCCTTGTGGGGAATGGGCCCTGCTCGTTCAGTCATAAGGTGTCACTGGCCTGGCCAAGGCTGGAGGAGCCGTGGGGTCTTACTGACCTTGAAGACAGGGCATAAAGTTTATGTGCTGGTTGCTTAATCCATTTCTGGAGGGAGCAGTGTGTCCCCCTCCCATGGCAGGGTCCTTGTGTGGCAGGGACCAGGGGCACGGGGCTCCAGGCCAGCACACTGACCTGAGTGCATGAGCCCATAAACAGAAAGGTTGGTGTGTGTGTTGAATTCCAATAAAGTTTCACGGCCATGGAGGGGTGACCCATCTTTGTGCCTGTTGTCATGCTGCTGCCCAGGGCCAAAAAGAGCCAGTGAGCCCGGGAGTGTCCCACTGTCTTCCCTGATGAGGGGTCTGCTGCCTTCTCCACGATGGGGAGCTCACTCACAGCGTCATGGGTACACACTCCTAGTCTCACTCATGCACATGCACCGGTAACGAGTGGCGGTTGCTCAGCTGTCCTGCCGGGCACGTGTGCACAGTCCAGCTCCGGGCCATGCAATGCCTCCTCTTGGCCAACAACAGCCTCTATCCCCTTCCTGGCCATGGCCTTCCTTTCCTCCATGGCCACGGGCTCCAGGCAGTCCCCTCTATGCTTTCTGAGGCGAGGACATTCTCCCCAGGCGGGCCTGACTCCTGCTCGTACACAGGCACAGGGTGCTGGGGGGCTGCCATGTGGCCTCAGTCTGGTGCCCTTTCTGTATGACGTGTGGCTGAGCCAAGGCCTGCTGAGGTCAGCGGCCCTGCCCTCCCATCCGGCCTCCCAGTGAAGTAGGGATCCTGACGGAAGAGGCTTCCAGGAGTTGGGCATGCTAGAAGGCCTGCGGCTTCCACCAAGCCCTGCCTCGCCCCCTCGCACCTCCCCAGGGCCGGTGCCCGAAACGGGGGAGGCGGGCCTGCCCAGGGGCGTCTGCTGCACTTGGTCCCAGTCCAGGGTCAGGCTGGCCACACAGGGGACACTCAGAGGACAGCAGCGGGGTCTGAGGCCATGCGGATATCGGATGGGGGCTGTCTTCACACAGGGTTAGAAGTCACAGCAACAGAAAGATCAGTTTCCTACGTATCACACACAAGATGTGTGACAGACTGGGTGAGGACACCTTCCCATGTACCTTCAAGACCCCACTTAAAGGTCTTGAGCAGACAGAATCACCACATTCTGGAGACGAAGTCCATCTTATTAAGACAGTTCTTCCTAAGTCAATTTAGACATTTAATGCCATTCTTGTAAACAGAATGGGTTTTATCTTAGATTAAAACAAACTATAAAGTTCATGTGGGAGGAAATGTTTTTAAAAAGCGAAAATAGCCAGGAAGAACCTTAAGAAGGAGAGAGGTGTGGGAGCCCTGCGAGGCACCTGTGTGGAACCCGGGTGTAGGGTCCACGTGCAGGCGGTGGCCTGGGAGACCTGAGACAGCCACAGCCAGACCCTGGTGCCCACGACACAGAGTCCGTGAGGAAGGTGTGGAAAAAGATGGTTTTGCTGACGAGCGTGGACAGAGGCCAGGCGGGACCCACGGGTCATCCTGGACACAGACACGGGTTCCATGTGGATCCCAAGTGTAAACACGGAATAAAAGCTAGAAGACATGGGTGATTTTTCTCTGTACCCAGGGATAGATAAAACTTTCCTAAATAGGACTCAAAATTCAGAAACAATAAAAGACAAAATACATACTGGATAAAAATGTTTATAAAACATTTAACATTTTCAAAAATATTTTAACTTGAGACAGAAAGCAGGAGTGGTCGCCAGGGCTGGGGTTGGGGGATGGCAGTGACTGTCCTGTGGTTACGGTGCTCCTTCCAGGGTGACAGAAATGTCTTGGGAATGGACAGTGGTGACGGCTGCTCAGCATTATGAATACAAAAAACGCCACTATCCTGCACACTCTGGTTTTTATGCACCTTAAAATGACTACAATGGTGACATTTATGTTGTAACAGTGCATTTTACATTTTACCTCAATAAAAAAGCTGTAATTGAACACTGAGAATATCAGGGTTAATATTCCTAATTCAAAAGAGCTCATTAGCTAAAAAAATCCAGAAGAAAAAGGGAAAAAGCAAATAAAGAAAAGAAAGAAATGCAAACCCAAACAATCACAGCTCCCACTCCCCACCCAGTGGGCTGGCCTGTCCCTGCCCCGACCACAGCCGGTCAGCGGGGCCGGGGTGGCGCAGCCCCCATGAGGGGGCTTCCAGCCCTCCCAGCCCCTGAGCAGGCTGGTGTCGCATCCGCTACAGCTTGGCTGGAGGCTCCTGGGAGCCCCAAAGCCAGCAGTGGATGACTGGAGGGAAGGGTCCCTCCTTCACAGCTGGCTTTCTGCGGGGGAGTCACTTCAGGGCGACCGGACGTGGCCGATGCACGTGGAGGGCGGCTTTCCCTGCACACTACATCCCCAACACAGGAGTGACCACAGCTGGGGGCACCTAGCTGGCTCCACAGTCTCGGGGTCCAGAGTTCGAGCCCCGAGCCCGCCGCAGAGAGGACTACAAAACAAGTCAGGAGTGAGAGGCCTGTCCCTTCCCAGCTCCAGGTCTCAGTGCAGCTCTTCCTTGTTGTCCCTGAACTCCCCTCTCCGGGTCCCCGGGGAGCTTTTCCTATTCCTCTCTCCACACCACCTCTCTCATGCTGTGGCTCCAGGGTGAGCACACTGTGAGGCCCACACAGCTCTTCAGGTGTCATCCAGCCCCACAATAGGGTGTCCGTTGTCCTGCTGGAGCACCTCCTTCTCCTCCGGTCTGTCCTCATCCTTGTCCTGCCCTGGGGGCTGTGGGGGCATCAGGGATCCAGACTGCTGGAGCCAAAGGGGCTGGGGCAGGGGCTGAGTGTGTCCGTGGGGCACTCACCAATCGCCACAGCTGCCACCCCCCTCCTGCCTGACGCTCAGGGCCGAGGGTGCCCTACCAGAAGAAAGAAGGGGTTCTCTACCACCCGTCCCCACTTGAGAAACTACACCAGTAGACAGAGTGCCTCCTGCATGGCACTGCCCCCAGCCCAGATCTCACCATTTCCGCCAAGATTCCCTTCTCAGACAGGCTTCTTGGTGCAGGGCACTGCCCGGCCCTCCAGACCAGGGCCTTCAAGAGCTTCGCCATTGGGGGACAAGAACGTGGAGGGAGCCAGTAGTTTGGTCAGAGGCGGCCAGGGTAGAGGGTGGAGAGGCCTGGAGACTTGGCGACAGCGCACGCATGCCAGATAGTAGCTCCGAGCCCCACGGGTCTGCTCCCCTGGCTCTTTGGAAGACGCTGTCTCCTGGGACATGCCCCAGAAATGTCCATACTCTCCTCAGTATCCTGGGAGGGCCTGGCTCATGCCTGGAATTCTTCCCTCTCCTCCCTGTTTGTATGGGTGGTGGCAGCGACAGGGGAGTATGGGGGAGAGAGGTCCTAGCTGACCCCTCCTGGTAGCTACAGCTTTAGTCTCTGTTTGCTGTCTCCTGCAGACCCGGAGGCATGGAGTGAGTCAGGGGCCATCCCGTGGTTGCCAGAGAAGAAATGGGAAGGGGGCGGCAGGCACCCAGCCTCTTGCTTTACTCAGTCCACCCAGAGATGCCCTGAGCACACCCATAAGGCAGGGACCACAGAACCCAGTCCCACCATGTCAGCATTCCTGCTCTGCGGCCACCGGCTCCTTCCATGCAGCTCACCCTTCCAGTCCGTCAGCACCTGAGGGGAAGGGCCCAGGGGAGCCCCCTTGCCCATCACAACACTGCCGACTGCTTTGCATTTTTGGCTCCTCTGTAGATTTTGTAAAATAAAAAATACACCAGATCCAATAACACACAATGTCTATGCGCACACACACACACACACACAAAACAAAACAAAACAAAAAAAGAGAGAAAGGAAAAAGAAAGTGCCTGGCTGTCTCGGTCAGAAGAACACATGACTTGATCCAGGGGTCGTGAGATCAAGCCCCACACTGGGCGTAGAGATTATTTAGATGCATAAACAAACTTTAAAAAAAAAGGAAATGACTGTAACAGGAAGGTGGCCAGTCTGTGGCGCTGACCAAGGGGCTGGCTCAGAAGGTCCCCTGGGCGGCCTCTGAGTTTTAGCATCAGCAGCGGCAGAAGGCGGATAGGTGAGGCTCCTGGTGCCGGACAGAGGTGCTGGGCATGCCTTGCAAGCAGCGGATCCAGTGAGAACTTCCCACCTGCAGGGAACAGAGGGGACAGAGGAACCAGACAGACACACCCAGAATCCAGCCTGGGAACCCTTCTGAGATTAGGGACCTGCTTCCCAACAAGACAACGGCCTAGGGGTAGGAGACCGATGACGGTGCAGGGTGTTTGCTTCTTGTCCTGGGCTCTGAGCCCACGCTGCATGCAGCTCTGGGAGCTGCCCTCTGAGACCCTTGGAGCCCTGTGCAACTCAGGAGGAGGGATGGAGAACTTCCCGCAGCTCTGAGACAGCTTCCCGGTTTCCTCAGTGCCAAGGTCTGAATGCTTGTTCCCCCCAAACCCGCATGTGGAAATCCTAACCAGAGGGGCTTTGCTGTCTCCACCTAGATTTTGGAGGGTGAAGCAGTCTCGGCCTTGATCCCAGCAGAGCCACTGGTGATTCCAGCCACAGAGATTGGAGTAGCCTGTGTGATCCCACAGGGAGACCAGGGGAATGGCGGCGTGGGCTGCGCCCAGTGAGGCTGTGGAGGCAGGACCCCCCACGGGCCTGGAGGGCAGACAAGGAGCCCAAGAGAGTAACTGTCGCCCGCGGGCTCTGGGCGTGACCAGGAGCGTCCATCCCGACCGCGGCTGTCGAGGCGCTTTGGAAGCCCAAGGTCTGGTCCCACAGGTTCCCAGAGGGGACTCTGCCCCAGGGTGAGTTTGCACTGCGAGTCTCCTACAGGTGCTTTACCAGGCCCGATAGCACCAACCTCCTCTGCCCCTGGGCCCTCCTCTGGCGACCCCAGCCACTGATGCCTTGGGACCCTGAGCCCCGGGGGTGGGGGGTGAAGGCTGCAGCTGCTGTCACCGGTTCTGATGTCCCCGGGGCCAAGCACCACCTCCCCCGGCACAGTGCCCCAAGCTCCTGGCAGGACTTTATAGATGCTGGTGTACGAGGAAGAAGAAAACGGCTTGGTTTTGTTTTTCCAGGCATACTGCAGCAGTCAGGGATAAATGCCCAGAATTTGTTTAAAAATATGCCCACCAAAAGAAGGTAGAAGAAAGGAAGCCAGTGGTGGGAAACAGTGGGGTGACAGGCACATGGGGCTCAAGCGTGTTTGGGAGATGTCACAGTCAACACACG